ATGGGAAGCATAGAGAGTTTGATGCAGGAATTGAGAGGACGTTTTCCTGATTCTTAAAAAGAGATTCTTAGGAAGAAATTCTATCTCTTTCCTCCGTGCAATGTCCTGTCTGAATATGATGGTTGGGATTGCTTGTCCCATCCAACTTCAGACCCAAGCATGAAGGCAAAACACAAGTAAAGGTGAGGCCAAACAATTTCTGGAGAAAAAGAGCTGCAGCTGTCCTACCTTCTTATAATAGGAAATAATAAATCTTGTCATTATAAAAGTCATTCTAGGGTGGATTTTTTATAATTTGCAGCTAAACACAAATAAACCAGTCTATATATCTTTGGATTTTATTAAGCTGTCCTTTTATGTCCTGAGGAATACATCCTTTGTGCAGTTAGTCCTCTGTTTTAACATGCTCAGGGGCTCATTAGTAGGAGAGCATAATTATTCCATGTAAACATGTAAAAAGATGATAGTGCTTTACTTCCTTAGCTCACTTTTTTTTTAATGTTCTTCTTTTTTTTTAAGATTTTATTTATTTATTTGACAGAGAGCGAGGCACAGTGAGAGAGGGAACACAAGCAGGGGGAGTGGGAGAGGGAGAAGCAGGCTTCCCGCAGATCAGGGAGCCCGATGCGGGGCTCGGTCCTAGGACCCTGGGACCATGACCTGAGCCGAAGGCAGATGCTTAATGACTGAGCCACCCAGGCGCCCCGCTTCAGCTCACTTTTTCCTTTTCTCCTGTTTACTTATTAGTCCCATTGGCTTTTGTACATGAAAAATTGTGGATCATGTCACTTATTAGCAAAGAAAGTAAAAAGAAAATGGTCTCCTACCCAATAGTTCGGTCTTTCAATGACATCATATGCAATTGCATATATCAGTGCAAGTTATATAGCTGACATATATGCACTGAAATAACAAATTATGTCCTATGTTAGTGTTTAAATATGACATTTTGGAGGAATCTGATGGATACGAGAAACGTCTCTTGACAGGACTGTCAGTTGTTAACAGAAAGGCATACTGAACAAGGCAAGTCAAAAATCACACAAATACATTCTGCATTTGCTGTGTACCGGGCTGAGCACATAGGTGCTGGCTAAACAGTGGTCAACAGGAGTAACGAGGGTTTTACTCCCATGGGGTTTACAGAGTACGTGGGCAGTCAATCTGATGAACAAGCAATTGTAACACACTGTGATAGATGCTCTTATATGGTGCAACATATGAGAATATAAGAGGGGTATGTAACTCAGGAAGGAGTGGGAATGGCTAAGAAAGGACTCCTGGAAAGCATGTATCAAGCCTCACTCCTAGAGATTGAATGGGCTTGAAGTAGGTAAGAGAGAAAAGCATATGTGGAGAAGGGCTCGTGCAGGGGACTAGAAAAGGGAGAGAGGATGCACAGGCATCTGCAGAGAGCAGGAAGTGGCTAAGCGGAGGCAGGGGGCAACAGAGTAAGAGACAGGATCACAGAAGTACAAAGGGAGCATTCCTTTAGAGTGTTAACACAGCTTCTGAATGCAGCAGGGATCCATGTGTGCATTTGATGAAGGCTCTTCTGGCTGCACGGCAGAGACGCGACATGAAAGGGACAGAGCAGAGGCAGTGGCCGTGCTAGTCACCCAGAGAGGCTGTCAAATAGGAGGAAGGAAAGCGGAACCTGGAGGGAAGATTTACGATGTGGGTCATTACTTGAATATGGTGGAAAGGGAAAGAGAGGCACCCAAGGGGACTGCTTGGTTGAGGTGGATGGAAGGTCATCACTGGGGAAGGACTGCCAAAAGGAGCTGATATGGGGGAGGACAGTGGATTCAGCTTTGAACATGGCTCTTAGTTGTCTGTGGGGCATCTAGCAGACCTTGGATTTGGGTCAGGAGTTGTGTGCACAGGTACGGGGTTTGGATGTGGGCTGGCGTCTCTGAGTTCCAGTATTCTTATTTATTAGATGATGATGGTGATATCTACCTCATAAATGTCATGGGATTGAAGGAGATAAAATAAAGCAACTCAGAGGCAGATATTGTTTTCATGAGTTCTGTTCTTTGGTTATTATTGTCAGTGATGCTTTTCCTTCTGTCACTGTTTCTAAATGGTCACCTGAAATGATTAAAAAGATTATGGCAGCTGATGTCTGCTGAATACTTACTGTGTACTAGACACTCTTGACCCTTCTGATACTGTACAAATATTAAATCATTTATTTATTTGACAGAGACAGACAGAGCGACAGTGGGAACACAAGCAGGGGGAGTGGGAGAGGGAGAAGCAGGCTTCCCGCTGAGCAGGGAGCCCGATGCGGGGCTTGATCCCAGAACCCTGGGATCATGACCCAAGCCGAAGGCAGACGCTTAACAACTGAGCCACCCAGGCACCCCTAAGTCATTTATTCCTTAACATAACTCTGTGAAACAGGTACTTCCATACCCAAAGAGATTAAGCAACTTGCTAAAATCACGTAGCTAAGAAGTGTTGGGGTGCAGATTTGGACAAAGGCAGTCAGACTTCCTTTCTTGTACTTTATGGATGAGAATGTATTTTTGCTAAATAGGCCTTTGACTTTTAATCAGTTTATAATGTTGGTTTTGTCCCTTAAGAATATTCTAGTGGTCATCTGTTTTTTTTTTCTTTTCAACAACTCCTCTATTTCTGAAATTCTTTGTATAGTTAATATTAAAATATTCTTCTACTTTATATCATAATGTCAAATCCACTGCTGATTGACTTTCATACACATACATATAAACATAAATTTCCATTTCGGATTCATAACTCCAGCCATTTTCATATTCATCGACTTGTAGGCTTGAAAGGAACTTAAAATCTTATTTAATTGCATAGCAAATGTTTAAATTCATCTTGTCAAGTAGTTTTTGTACCAAGACTTCTAGAGTTTCAGTCACAGAAACCATCCTCCACAAATCCCATTTCAGTTTCTGTCCTTGTTCTCAGGAACCTAGTCTCCCCTGCCACTCCCCCAGCACCTGACAGCTACTGGCACATGCAAAGTACGCCATATATTTTGTGGAATGAATGAATAAATAAATGATTGATTATCAGAAAAACCACACTGACTATTCTGTAAGTTTCTTGGTAATTCAACAAGGACAAAACACAATTTCCTTCACTTAAAATATGACTATTTTCATGCAAGAGGAAGGCTAAGATAACTAAGGAAAACACTTGGGGTTTATCTGATTTTGGAAAACAAGAGTTGACTTATGTAGAATTCCGGTAACACCTGAAAACTGGGACTGCTGGGAATCCAGGAAGATGCTCTCTGCCCTGACTTTTGAGGCAAGCAAGTTGGAGCTGCTTCCTAAGCCCAGATAATTGCCACTTCAGCCTGCTTGAAATGGAAATTTGAACTTTGTTCCGAATTGGGGAGGGAACCAAGAGCCTGAGTTGATGATCAATGTTGGGCCAATGCCAACTCATATCATGAACAGTTGGATTTTTATGTTCTGTCTGTGAAGAGAATCCTGTAGTTGGGTATTGGACCTTTCAAAGTCCATGGAGTATTCCTTTGTTTCCTCTTTGGGATTATCCTAGCAGGACTATCCATAAGCCAAACCCAATAAATACATAGTTCTACTGTTAATACTTTTTTTCTTATCACATTACTAAAATAAAACTCAAATTTATGTTTCATAGTTCCTATTGTTCCCAGATTTATTCATTTAGGTACCAAAAAAGCATGAAAGATAATGCTGACAGTTAAATCTGAAATAATTTATTTAAATCCTGGTCCCCGAGTTCTAATGGAAAATGACTCATATGGCATATTCAAAGCCAAAAGTGGAATTCAGATTGGTTATTTGGGGTTGTATTTTTTTCAATAAAGTTATTCATAATCCCCAATGACGATGATAAATTTGTGGTTGCTAAGTTAGTGTTGGGCATTGCATCTTTAGAGTCTGATTAGGTGGGAGTTGCCATTTGCTGCGCTGTGAATTGCCAACAAAGCTGAATCTGTCACAGGTGCTACGATTTGTATTTCAGAAAAATTTCTTCGCCAAGTTTAATTATCCCCAAAGTATTTTACTCTACACAAAGTACTGAAAAGAGTTAGCAATTTTTTTTTTCATTTTCAGTACTGTGATGTAAATTTGGATTTTGTCTACTACCTACATGTTGTAGAGATGATGGAATTTCAAATGCAGGAGACCCTCTGTTTTGTAATCTAAAACACTATTTTCTGTTCATTTTTCCATTTTGGATTCAGAAAAAGAATAACACGAATTGGCTGTAACCAAATCACATATCCACAGTGACATAAACCATGCTTTGTAGAAGGGAGCAGGCATGAGGTAGATAGAAAGTGTGTAGGTTTAACTACTAGTGGTGGAAACTGGGAAATGGGAAGTCCTACACTCAAAAATATTAAATAAATTTAGGATTAACTTTTTCTTATTAAGTATTAATATGTGTTTCAAAGCTCATGGAAATAAGTATGTATCCTTTTTTGTATTAGGCAGCCTGTCCCTTGCAGGGAGACTAGGGAACTGGGCAGCTTGTGGAGACAGTCGTTTCTCTTTCAGCAAAGCAATTCCTCTTCACATCAGCATATATCAGTCGGGTTTCTGTTGTTGTTTTTTCTTTTCCATAAAACAATTTGTTTTTTTCAACACTTCAACAGGAAGGCCTGATGGGGAAGTTTCTCCTAAATGTTTCACTGCAGAGGTAGTTTCTATAAAATTGCTTGAGGTTGATTTGTTAAATTAGAGGAAGGTCTTTGACTCTGGAAATCCATAAGAAGTGATTATGGTTATGAAAATAATTTCTAAGAGACCAGCATTGTTTGATGAGTTAAGAAATATGTTACAGTTTAAGCTCTTTGGGATATTTTAAAATGAGATTCTTTATCTTTTTCCCCGTCTTTCTCCTTGTCTTCATATTAATGAAATTCTAACAAATAGAAATTATTAATTGAATTGAGAAATAAGTGTGTGTGTTGGAAATTGCTTAGCCTCCAAATTGTAATTATAATTTTATATTCTTTGTAGGATTATTTAACCATTCATAAGTATGGCAACGCAGCCAGAAATGATCTCTGGAATACACTATCAGAGGTAAAGTATAGGAAAGTATAGGAAGCTCGAATACCAAAACCTCCTCTTGAATATTTGAATTGAGTTTATAAACCACTCTTAACTTTTATTGACACTGACAGTTGTTTTTACTTTTTATATTTTCTCGTATTGCTTTATCATTTTATTTTTGATATATTATAAAAGTAATGGGGTTTAAAACTACTTAAACTACGAATGGTAGTAAAACATACCTTGCCTACTTTTAAACAAGACAATACTTCTGAAATATAACATTCATATTGTGTCAGATATTCATGTATGAGAGAAATATTGATGTTAAAATAGTTTTTTCTATAGGTGAATAACATTTAAATTTGGTACTGGACATACTGGGGATACTTAATGATGCTACAAGTACTTGTTTTAACAATCAACTATGTTTTATCTTCCATTAAGTAAATCTTTAATGCTAATAAAGCTTTCATTTCTCTATATATGCATGAAGCTTAATTTAAGGCAAGGAGATTAATTTTACTAATGCGTTATATTAGCTTCACTGATTTTACATGTTTTCATCCTTAAGTAAATCATAAAGGTAAAAATAAAAATGGTTTAATGTTAATTATGTTTATAATTCATGTTTATAAAACTAATTTATACAATTTGGGTTATAAAGGCTTTAAAACGGAATGGAAAATTTGTAAATATACAAGAAGTAATGGATCAGTGGACACTCCAGATGGGTTATCCTGTTATCACCATCTTGGGAAATTCAACAGCAGAAAATAGAATAATAATTACCCAACAACACTTTATTTATGACATCAGTGCTAAAACTAAAGCACTTGAACTTCAGAATAACAGGTACAACACTCTTTTACATGAAAAAACAATTGCTTTTATTCTTGGGTTTTACTTTGCATTTTTAACATTTTAAAAAGATTGCTAGCACAATTATAAAATGTAAGCGAAATATGGTTTTCATTTCTTTATTTACATATGGTGTTTTCATTTTGATTCCTCTTTTACTCCCATTTCCAGATATTTTAACCATCAAAGTGACAGCACACCAAAGTTATTTTGTTTAAGCAGAGTTTAAATTATCATGGTGATTTAGAAAAATATGTGATTTTTTTACTTTTCCCTGTGAATGTTTGTTGAATTAAATTCAAGAAAGTTAAGATGTAGTGAAGTCAATTAGATGGAATGGAGCAAACTGAGATTTATAAAATAGATGAGAATAGAAACTAACAATCCAGAAAGACTAATTAAAACAAACAAAAACTACAACTAGACTAGTATCTGAGCCAAAGGAACTCAAAGTAGATCCATTTTTAAATGGTCTAAGTATCAGTGCTACTTAGCATCAAAATATGTTCTCCTCCCTCATTTTCCATATGTAAAACCGCTGAACAGACAACACACATAGTATTTTTATTTGTTGTTAAACTTTCTTTTGAAACTCTTATTTAATTACTGAAAACAGCATGTAGTGTTTCTTTTCTACTTCGTGTTTTCTTACTGTATGGTGTCTTGTTAAAGGCTGAGCCAAAGAAAGATAATGCAGTTTAAATCAGTTCATTTCATTTTTTAAAAGGTGCCCTAAGAAAAGATTGGAGAGGGAGGGGACAGAAGGGATGGAATTTAAAATTAATAAACAAAATGAAGTGTTTGGATTAGGTTGGTCATGCTGTCTCCCATTACATTGGCATATTAGGACTCTGACTTTATCGTCCACCAATATGTAGGAGGTATGAAGCATCAATTGTTTTTGGTTTTTTTTGTTTTTGTTTTAATCTCTAAGAGGGATGGAAATTGTCCCCAAGTAGGCTAGCTCCAAGATGGGCTATAGGTAGAAGTGACTGAGAAATTCCTGAATGTTTAACGATGACCGAATTTGGAATGTCCTTTAGGAAAGCATTGTCTTAAATCTCCTGGTCAATAGATACATTGGCTTTGGACAAACTGCCCCTGCAAGTCAACTGTTTCAACCAATGGAAGGTAGTCTTACTCTGCTGCACTGTCATGATCTGACTCTTGTCTGTCAATGCTTCTGTATTACCCAGCCTGGATTCCGCACAGTTGCCAAATGCTGCTTCTGATTCTCCACCCTCTGGCCCTGGGCTAAACCTGCTTAGGCATCAACTCCGGCCTTGCCAGGAAGTACATAAAAACTACTTACTTGACTGTGGCAAAGTTAGAGAGATTTAGGCCATGCCTTTGAGAATGATCGGTTTGACACAAACATCACTGGTGCAGAAAAACATAAAGGACCCGCAAATGACAGAACAAATTTTGAACAAAAATACACTGTCAGCCTATAACATGCATCAGATGTATCAGCCATGAGTATGACTCTTTAAAGGCAGAATTTCTCCCAGGCTGTATGAGCATATGTAACTTTTGCTTTTGCTAGAGTTGTAAAATCATACGGATAACGTTGAACCCTGAGAACCTGGCATATAAAATATTAAGAGTAAGATAATGTATGGAGTTCCTTTAAGCTCGAAAATTATTTTCTATCTATTTTGAAATAATAGAGCTTGCAGTTAAAAATTTCGTATTCAATTGTATCTTATTGATCAGTTTTATTCACTCTAACATTGTAGTCAGAGCTTCAGTACCAATTCTATCAGTCCTTTGTATGTAGCCTTCCTAGGTCTTTATTATACAATGCAAGCTGTTGATGCAGTAAAACAGTGCCCACCGATACCAGAAATCCCACGTATTGTGGATCTTTTCTGAGCCAGTATCATCAATTCTTTGTCCCGAATTTTGTAAAGGATACTAGAACATCACTACAACATGCCCAGAACTTTTTTAATGTATATAGTAATTATATTTTTCTATAGAAAGATGGTTACATAACTAATAATTGCATAGAGTTAGGTGATATGTAAAAGTGAATAAGATATTTGCTAGAATTTAGGTATTCTGGAAGTTCTGAATTTGTCTGGCTTTTTCTCTTTATCAAGTTAATACATTGCAATGTTAAGCAATGTCTCCTCATCCACTTACGGAGTTTCTCAGAGTCCTGTGCTACAGACAATTGTATTTATCTCCACAGTCATATTTTCCTTTTGTTATCGTCCTGATGACAGCAACTTCTGTAGAGTTCATGGTATCTACATTATTGCTTCACTGATATGGGTACCATTTTGCAAAAAAGAATTTTCACTCAAGCTAAAATAAGTACCTGTTATTTATTTTCTACCTTAACATGATTATCAGGATAAACATTGCTTTATTATAAAAACGTCAACCCTATGTATAGAGAGATAACCCCAGGGAATATCACAGAAAAAATACCTTAAAGGTCTATTGAAATGCATTTTGCACTTGTTTTTGGGTTTTTTCCTGCTTAAAGTGAGATGACTAAAATTAAACTTAGGTAGCTGGGACACAATCTAATTCACAAATTCTTTTTCCTAATCTTTTTTTCAAACATAACCCACCACAGTCTGAGATTTTCTTTATAGCACACCATGCTTCACTCAACAGTGTTTAGTGTTTTCCACCCTTTTAAGTTGTAACCATAAAGCAACGTGCTTTCTTTGAGTTTTGAAATGAAATTTAGGAAAAGATCAAATATGTGTTGTTTGGAAAGTTATGAAAAATAACATCTAGGATTAATAGTATAGCAATTCAGAAACGAATACAAATTTTAGATATGCTTGGTAATTTGTCATTTTTATTTTGTTTTTGTGACAATATATACATTTTAGTTGTGTGCATACACAATCATGCAGACATAGATACACACACACACAGAAAGAGCAAAAACATTCTTGGGAAAAATACCCAGAAGACTGTTTCAAAAGTTTTACAAAATGCCCGAGTGTTTGTATCCCCCCAGTACCTTATAGTTAACTCTTGCATCTGAACAGCTGTGTGATTCAGTGTCTGTCATGTAGGAAGTTCCCCATAGGGATGTGGCATCGACTGTAAACAACATGCAGGTATCAATATGAATCTCTTTTTCTTGTACTGTAGAGACTTTTGCTAAAATTCAAATATTGAAGCATACCATAGAAATGTTATCATCATTTCTAGTTCCACTATTTAGAAGAATACAGTTTAAATAAATGCAAAAGTGTATTTATTTATATTAGGGGCAAATAATATTTCACATTTTATGATCATGCTTTAAAAAGACACATTTATCCTTGAGGATTTTTAAACATTGTCAATTTTGTATATTTCTTGCCCTTTAACGGATACTTATTTGACTTCACAATTTAGTTGACCCAACTCAATGTGGAAGATATTTACCAGAAAGTCAAGTTCATAAGGTTAATCTCTGTCTTGCCCATAGACTGATTTGGTTCCTTTCATTTTACTTTGGTCTAATCCTGTTTGATCCAATTCAACAGCAATTTCTGGAATGCCTTCCTTTTCTAGGCTTCTTCAAGATCTTAGGTTTACAAATATGAACCCATAGATAATAATTTGAGAGTCAGATGCATAGTCAAGCATTATTGTCTCTTAACTAATTTTTTCAATTAATCAAAAAAGAGTCATTATTTTTAGAGAACAGCTGTTAAAGAAATATATATCAATTCTCTTTGTCTTCCTCACAATAATACCATTATTAAATATTTGCCATATTCTTAGTATTATGTTAAGAGCTTGGAGGTCTTTGATAAAGAGCATAAGTGGGTTATGTTCATTTACTTCTACTTTAAAAACCATATGTTTGGCTACTATAGGTTATTGATTCCCTGACCAACTGTGTGGATTCCACTGTGGTACAGCTTAGTGTCTCTACGTAGTTGGCACTCAAAAATATTTCGCTGATTTAAACACATCATTTCAACTTTACATATTGTAGATGGCCATTAGTGTAAAATCGTTAATTTCTTCTACTCTTCCACTTAGATTTGTTACTATTACTGATTTGTATTTATTGTGAATGAGAAATGAAATGATAAAATAATCAAATTCTATGTAATAGATTTAGAGGAGATGCCCTCTCTTCCCATGCCCCCCAAAACATATTCATTATATTTGTAATTATATAATCCCAGATATGTTTCCTGAAAAATTCTCAATTCTCTGTTTACTTTCCCAATTACAGAGCTCAAACAGTGTCTCTTCCATAAAATAAAAAATATTTTTTACATACTAAATATTGTTGGCTACCCATGCTGTTAATGGTGCAATGATAGGTCAACGTAATCTGGCTATACTTCAGGGAAAGAAACAAAATGTAGTCACTGAATTTATTGTAAGACCATCCAGATTATCTCTGGCTAGTCATTTGAGATTAAATTGATACTACTTCAAGTACAAGTATAGGCTTCCATTTTTACCCTATAAAAAGTCAAATTCTAGAAAATGCTTCTTTTAATAGCTGAGACTCATGACTGATCCCTGAACGTTGGTTGATGATTTCACACATCAGTGTGGAAATTTCATTTCAGAAAATAGAGCATTAAGTGTGTTTGACACTGTTCTTTGTCCTGATCTGGATTTTAGGGGTATCTGATTGGTTTCACCTTTCATTCCTGCTTTGCTGAGTAACTTTAGGTGTGCTGTATTAACCTATCTGTAAAATGTGATAATACTACTTATTAGGATAGTTATGTGAAAAAATAAGGATAATGTTGAAATGTAAATGCATGAAGCCACTGAAATGTGTATTAATTTAACATAGAAACAAGTAGAAAGGAGTTATTTTGAGACTTAATCAATATATGGTGTGGCTCTGATTTATTGATTTTAGCTACTTTTTATTCTGTAATGTAAAATGCGAATCTTTTTTTTATTTTGCAAGATAAGTTGTTTTGTTGAAAGTCCCCCTTTTGTATTGAAATTAAAACTCTTACAGGCTAAGTCTGCTTAGTGGCATTGAAGAAGTGAATTCATCTTCTTGACTTATTCCTTACTTTTGTGACGGTAATTTTTTTATTTCCCCTAAAGAGAATAATAGAAATCATGCAGCAGGTGCATAGCAAATGTTGTTTGTTTATTTGTTATAACTATTTTTATTCTTAAAGCTTCTATTTTACTTTGCAGTTACTTGTGGCAGATTCCATTAACTATTGTGGTAGGAAATAGAAGCCATGTGTCTTCAGAAGCAATTATTTGGGTGTCTAACAAATCAGGTAAAATATATATGCTCCCCTCAGGAACCATTTGGTTTCAGATAATTGTTTAGCAACTTAACCTCTGGTTTCAGCTGTTGTAAACATGTGAATAAAGACAAATTAGAAAGAGAATATAAAAGAATGATAATCTCCTCTACAAAATTAAGTATAATATAGTATAGTTTGTACACAGTCTAATTTTAGTTTGCCTATATAATTCTTAAGTTTATTTGTGTCATTGATAGTAAAGAGAAAATTTAAAACAAGGCATCTGTAGTACTAATTTTAGCTGTTTTAAACTGTATCATTTTATAATCCCAAATGTAATTAAATTATAATCATAACTCCCAGTAAAACAGTATGCCAAATAATGAAACACAGGCCACATTTTCAATTCCATTTTCCTGCTATCTTCTTTTTTGCCAGACTGGCTCTTTAAAGAATGGACAAGGCGATATTCTCCATAAAATTAGATAATTATAGGGACAGAAGGGAGGGGACTTGATAGGTCATCAAAGCATCACCTAAACTAGGGTCAATTCTCAAGGAGCAGAGAAAGATGAGATTCTATTCTGTTTCTAAATGTCTTCAAATAAGATAGCGACCTATTTCAATTCACTGTCAGAAAGCTATTTCTTTGAATCCAATCTAAATCCTTCATGCTAGATGTGAAACAGGTCTCTTTAATTTCTGTTTTCTATTGAACTGGAGAAAAAGCCAATTAATCATCTTTTATATAACATTTTATTTAGATTTAGATGGTCAAGTATGTCCACGTTTTTTCTACTCCTTTCTTGTGTTCTGTTAATTGATGTTATCTTATTTCATAACCACTATGAGCAGCTACAATCTCCTTTTTGCAATAAGTAAGGTAAAATTAGTAAATAACACAATAAACATTGTGTCTGCCCCTCAGTCTTGCTATTATAAGGGAGATGTAAGTGCTCAAAGTACATATATACAAGAAAAAGTTCTTATAGCAAAATCTAATCTGCATACCAGAAATATAAATGCTTGTATTTTCAGTTGAATTTTTATTGAAATTTTCGTGTTGTTGTATTTTTAACACATAATCACATATTATGAAAATATGTGCTTTTATTTATATACATTGTGTATAAAAGATTCATAAGTAATGTAGTGATGAATTGAAATGCTTATTTTAAAATTTACTGGTGTTTCTCCTTTTAAAATTGCTTATTATAATCTATTCTTTTCATTTCTTAAGAGTTAGCATTTATATGATTCTTAATTCACTTACTGTATTATTTGTTTTTTTAACCGCTCTTTTACTTTCATGTAGTTGTTTTGTTTATCTACATAATTTGTTATGAAATGATGAGTGAAAACAGTGAGTCATTAACCTAATGATCTAACTATTAGATCCTCCATGGGATTGCTAGAAACATGAAATAGAACAATTTTCAGAATTTTCTTTCTTAGGAAAGAAAAGATTCAAAATAAAAGGGAAATTGATGCTGAAATTACAAATAAACATTAAAAAATTTCTCATTGAGGGGTACAATGGAAATGGGACAATTACAAGGGTGCAAAGATACTGATTAAAAGTCAGAATCAGGCCAAAACGTCACTTTTAGAGAGTGGATCTAGGCAAGTCTGATTCTTCATCAATATTTTCCCCACGTCCACTTCCTCTAACTCCCTAGTTAATTGTATGCTTTTATTCATGGTATCCTCTTGTTTCACGTAGAGTATACGCAGAATAGTGTCACAGCTTTTCTTGACCAATAACCACAGGTGTATTTGAGAGGTTGTTTCCATTTGTAGTCTCTCATTATTAATCAGGAATAATAACAACATGATATTTCAAAGCATACATTTGCCTAAAATGTCACCTATATTAATATACATGTCATGCTCACTACATAGTGTGTGCAGTGCATGACTCTGGGAGATGATATTTACATTGACTCTGATAATTGAGTTGTGCCACCTACAGTGTGTCAGTTTCCATTAAATCACAGCAGAGCCTTCTGGTTGATGGAACATTGTCCCGATAGAAGTGTTGAAGCTTTTGTGGAGAATGACCATACCAAGTAAATATTTCTTGAAAACTTTATAAATATGTAAATCTGGAAGAAGCTTCCAAGAGGGACCTAAAAGAAAGACAACCATTCTGTTTTCCCTGTTCAGTCTCATTCTGTCTTTAGTTTTGTCTTAAATCCCTTCATTATGATGACAAATAAAAAACTGACACAAGGCACAGACTGGGGGAAAGAAAAGATTGTTAACTCTTGTCTCCTTTCATGAGTTATTAGCTCTCTCTCTCTCTCTCTTTTTTCAAAATACAGTTAACTAGGGACACCTGGGTGGCTCAACTCCTAGTTTCAGCTCAGGTCATGATCTCAGGCTCTTGAGATCAAGCCCTGCATTGGGCACTGCACTCAGCGGAGAGTCTGGTAGAGATTCTCTCCTTCTGCCCCTACCCCCCTCTCTAAAAGTAAATAAATCAATCAAAATAAAAAATATAGGGGCGCCTGAGTGGCTCAGTTGGTTAAGCAACTGCCTTCGGCTCAGGTCATGATCCTGGAGTTCCAGGATCGAGTCCTGCATCGGGCTCCCTGCTCAGCAGGGAGTCTGCTTCTGCCTCTGACCCTCTTCCCTCTCGTGCTCTCTCTCATTCTCTCTCTCTCAAATAAATAAACAAAATCTTTAAAAAAATAAAAATAAAAAATAAAAATAAATAAAAAATATAGTTAACTAATATCAATAATGTTTTTTCCATAAAAACATTAAGAAAATATTCTGGTCAATTCTTATCAACATTATATTTTAAAAGTCTACCTTTTAGTTGTAACAATAGCATCAATGTTTTTGTAATTTTTCATTATAAGTCACATAGATTTGATCCCTCACCAGATATTAAAGCACAGTCATGGTGAATAATATAAAGTATAAATTTGATTTGAATCATCATATACTCTTGACACTTCCATTTTTTAAACCCTTTGGATGAATATTGAATTAATTCCAAGTTAAGGTGTAGTTCATTCTAGCCTAAAATAGTTTTTAAATCAACTTTTAAATTACTGAAAGCAGGTAAAAGGATTTATCTTTTTTGTTTTTACTACTGAGATACTGAGAATGCAGATGTTTATAAATGTAACAGTTTGTATGGTGACAATGAATGTGTAATGGAAGGGAATAAATTTAATGCCAAATGTTAGGAAAGAAAAGATTCAAAATAAAAGGGAAATTGATGCTGAAATTACAAATAAACATTAAAAAATAATGTAATGATATAGTGCTTGCCTTAAGCATTGTTTTATATAAGACTTGCAAGCCTTTAGAATGAGTTATTTTTATCCCCATTTTACAAATGAGGAAGTTAAGGCTTGAGAAATAACTTGCCTAAATTGTCTTAGGAGCTTGGTTTTCTTTTCTAAATGTATTCCCTCTAAACCACACACACACACACACACACACACACACACACACACACACACACACAGACACATGTAGATTTTAAAATTTTGGTAGGTTGCTTTGCTGATGTGCCAATTACTCAATATGTTGCCATTGTATTCATACACATGGTTTTTTATAGGTGCTGTAGAGCATTTTCTAATTCGATTCTCACACAAGTCCAGTGAGAAAACCACTATGTGTTATACCTGAGTTTGTTTTACATTGCTACCCTTGTTACTTTGGTTGACTTTTTGTTTATTTTAAATTCTGATTTTTCTGCAACCAGCCAATATTGAGGAGAAAGGCTTAAGATCTTCCTCTTTTTATTCGGAAAGTATAGAATATAAAACCAAAATATTACAAAATTCCAAATACTCTGTGCCTTGATATAATCTAAATTTTGTGCCATTTTGGATACATTCTACATACAATTTTAAGTTATTATTACTAACATTGAAAATATAACTTCCATACTTTTTATATTGGTACTCATCACATATCATATCTCATTAGGCCATTGGAAAAGGTCTCTTTAGAATTCATTGCTTGCCATTAGTTAATTTGAAGAACATTTTAAAGATATAATTAACTAGAATGAAAAAGACATTTAAAAATCTATTACAAAATCTTTTCAGGGAATCATTTCTCCAAAGATTTCATTTATAACAAAGGCATAAAAATATTCATGAACAGTAATAACCTGCAGGTTTTAGTTATCAATTTAATAATAGCATACTTAAAAACAATAGATGCCTGCCTTTTTTATTCTCATCAGACGAAATAGAAGTTATAGGGATTGTTTTCCTATTTTAATTTGTCTCTCTTCTACCTGTAAGTTGTTGAATTCAGTAAGTTTATTTATTTTTTATTTTTTTATTATTTCTAGTTTCAAGTTTCTATTTAAATTCCAGTTATTTAACATACAGTGTAATATTAGTTTCAGGAGTAAAATTTAGTGATTCATCACTTACATATAACACCCAGTGCTCATCACAACACGTGCCCTCCTTAATGCCCATCACCAATTTAGAGCCAAGACAAATTGTGCCAGCTCTCTAAAATGTGAACAAGAAATAACTTCAAAAAATAGACTTGGGATGCCTGGGTGGCTCAGTCGTTAAGCGTCTGCCTTCGACTCAGGTCATGGTCCCAGGGTCCTGGGATTGAGCCCCACATCGGGCTCCCTGCTCCGCGGGAGGCCTGCTTCTCCCTCTCCCACTCTCCCTGCTTGTGTTCCCTCTCTCGCTGTCTCTCTATCTGTCAGATAAATAAATAAAATCTTTAAAAAAAATAGACTTAATATCATAGGATTCCATGACTGTTTCAGAATTGTAAAAACATAAATCATATATTCATATATTAAACTTGATTCTTGAATATTAAAATAACCACTTCTTAGTTGAAAATGATCAAATTTACTCTTAACCCAAGTGAATTTAGTATATGTGCTGCCAAAGCAAGCACCTAACCCAAGTGGATTTAATCACAATATGTGTTGTTATAAAATCCTCATATTATTGAAGATAGAGTTAGGATTACTCAAGAGAAACAGTATCCTCAATATTTTAATCTTAATTTTTTTCACTGAATTGTTATCAAACCTTGATAACAAGGTGAATTTGGACATGATTAATTGAAACCTCTCTTCATATGGTTTAGTTTTTTAAAATGTCTTATCTTTTGTTAATTATTTTTTATTTTTATATCTGTAAAATGGGGTGACATTCCAAAACTTCAAAGGAATTGTGTAGATAAGCACATTAAAGTTTTGAAAAATATACAAAAACAAAGTATCAGAAAGTTGGGAAACTATTAATATTTTAGAGCAATATCTGATAGATTTTTTTTAAGTACCAGAGATGAAGCCTGGTAAAATTTCACACAGAAGAAAACAGTTCCTTCTTCTACTGAGCCATAGAATTGGAAGGGACCTTAAATGCTATTTATTAGTTGGCCCTTACATTATATGAGTGGCCTAAGTTCAAACATTTAAGTGTAGGAGAACTGGAACAAAAATCTCACTATCCTGCTCCTGTTCTAATTCTTATTTCCAATGCTGTGTCCCTCTTTTTCAAAACAATGTAAGAATGTGAGAGATATATACCATATCACAGTAAAAGTGCTATACCATCTTGTATCAATAGAATATAATGTAGTAAAAAGGACACCCAAGTCAGGAGACCTGAGACAGACCATTTCCTGCTTTCTTGGACAATTTGATTAACCTGTCTGAGCCTTGTTTTTTTATCTGTTCCAACAGATACTATTTATAAAAGTGGCAAAAAGCTGACATACCATCTGAAACATTAAAGATTAGATTTTTATGTTCAGCATACATTTTTGTTTTTACTGCACATTTATAAAAATTGGCAAAATGTAACAGGCATTAGATTAAGAAGCCCACCCCATTTCAAAGCCCACCTCATTTCAGCCATTAATAGTCATTAATGTTCACCCAGTGACTTTTGTGGTCACACCCTCTTCCTGTGTGGCTTCTACTTGAGACTATAGAGTTAGTGTTTCAAAAAGAGAAAGAAAAAGAAAACCTGTTTTGTAGCCTGATGCATAAAAAACCTTGATAACAAGGTGAGAATTGGAGATTGTGTGTCTCACTCAGAACTGACACAAACGGACTTCTGTGATGCAGTTTCTGGTTTTGAGTCATTGTGGAAATTACGTGTCCCAGTGTGGTGTGTGTGTGTGTGTGTGTGTGTGTGTGTGTGTGTGTGTGTGTAAAATATAAATTTTAAGTAAACTTAATACATTTCATAACTTCTATGAACCATGAATCCTGAGGACATCCACGAAATGATTAGAATTGTAAGCTATGGTTCTGTGAAGTCAACAGAGGCTGCCATTAAGGTGAATGGAGTTCTCCATCTGTACCATATTGTGAAGGAGTTAAATATATAAGTTATAAGATTGCTTTTACTGGCTTCCTTTAAATGAATTAGCTGGGGAATATAATCAAGTTACCATTTTCCAAAATTATTCCAATAAACAGAATTTATTATCTTTGTTCTAATTATATGTAGAAATATTAGAGTCTTAAACAAATGAGTTGCCTTTTTCCAACATTATTGATGATGCTGGAAAGTCTGCTATTTATTAATACTTCCAAAAAAGCACAAGAAAAAAGGCAAGAAACAATAGTGACTTTAAAATAAATGAGCCCTGTTGTTTTAATCACTTTCTTAACTGAATAAAATAAGTAGAATGTGCACCTAAAACCTTTTCTTCTATTCTAGCCCCATATTTAAATACAATCTAACTAGAAGCACATAAATACAGATTTCTTGGTGACATTTATCTTGAGAAGGACATTGTGTATAGGTAATGGGGTTTTATCAAGAACAAAGAGTGTTAATTATAAGAAAACAATTAATTGAGGTAATAATGGGTAACCAACTAAAGGTTTTCTAGTGAATTCTAGATACAGTAATGAATTGATTAAAGAGTAGATTTCAATTAGGCATTTATGATGGTGTTATCTTTTAATCACTGGTACTATAATATCTATTATTTAGAAAATATACTTCATCTCATTTTAACCCATAAATTTAAAATCTGTTTTACTCCAAAAAATGTTGTTTTCAGAGCACCACAGAATAACTTTGGACAAAGGAAGCTGGTTGCTGGGGAATATCAATCAAACTGGCTATTTTAGAGTCAACTATGATTTAAGGAATTGGAGATTATTAATTGATCAGTTAATCAGGAACCATGAGGTAAACTGGATTTACTCATCAAAGATCTGTTTCGATAGGTGAACACCTGCCACTTTAATCCTGATTCTTTTTTTTTTCCCCTGGTTGATCTCATAGGTTCTCTCTGTCAGTAACAGAGCAGGTTTGATTGACGATGCCTTCAGCCTGGCCAGGTATGTTTTCCAGTGGATCTTCACAAGAAAACTGATGTCTGTAAGGCTTCCTCTATTAAGCTAAATATTATATATTTTGAATAAGAAGCCTTTTAAGAACAATTTCTGTCTCACTTTTTTTTGTATTTGCATATGAATTATAATCAGTATCCCAAACTCTTGATCAATAGTAGCCATAAGGTATTTCTGAGTCAGGAGAAGCTTGATCAATTTTCACTGTAAGTTCAATTTAACACTGGAGATTAATAATCCCTTCCCAATTTCATTAATGAACTCTACAAAATGACCATTGTGCCATATTTAATTTTTGATGGAAAATACCTTCAAGCAACAACAATTTTTCCCTAACATATACTCATATATCTTTTTTTAATGTTTTTTGAATGTGATTCATTATGAGAAGCTTGTGCTGCAAGACAGAAATAAATATTCCATGGAGTAAAGCTGTTCTGGACAAAATGTATATCAATCTTAGAGCAGAAGACTTTAGTTGTGCTTGTTATAGTAATATTTACATTATTTGCATCATCAGATTTATAATGTGAAAATGAGTTATTCCTTTGAATAGTCACTAAACAGTTATTTCTTTAAAATAATGTTGATTGTAAACCCAAGCTATTTACTCAATGTTGAGATTAAACAGTAAAATAAACTCAGTCCTTTTAGTATTTTGAATTGTTTCACATCCAAGTGCAATTTTAATTTTAATAATCCAATGTTATTGGGCAGAAATTTAGAAATAATAGTGGTATGGGAAGGCCCACCAAGATAGCAATGTATGGAGGTAATGAGTAAGATGTAGTTTTGACTCTACAGTAAGATATGAAGACTGAGTATTCAGTCTCACATGAAGATTACTTTGACATAGAAGTTTAAAAAAGGTCAGAAAGATAGTAAGACAGTGTACTTAATGTAACATTGCATTGAAAGAGAAGCAGGAAAAGGAGAGAATTATGTTGAGAGCACCACAAGGAAAGGTTTGAGAACTAGAAGAGACCTCATACCACCAGCTACTTAAACACTCATAAGGGTCCAGACACTGTTCTAACTGTTGTACTGTAGCAATTTAATTCTCACAACCTTATGAAATATGTAGATATGTATTGTTATTATCACATTATTATTATTCCCATTTTATAGGTAAGGAACTGAGGCTCAGAGAAGTCAAGTATCATGTTTTAAGTCACACAGCTAGTAATTGATAGGACCAGAGCTTTGTCCAGATAGTCTGGCTACAGAGCCCAATGATGTTAACTCTTTCATTATATGTATTCACATGAACGACCATTTCAAATCCCATCAGTCTTTCTATATTGCCTGGTTCTTTAATTATAATAATTAAATTAATTAAATTACTATTACTGCTGATATATATATATATATTCATGTGAATTCTTTTGGATTTGAAATGATGGTGAGAAAGCATATAAGTAGTAAATGTCCAAAAGTTGGAGAGCATATGAAAATTGAAAGGAGGGGATCTTTGACTCATCTGCATTAAATTATTTTTTAGTGGAATATTTTATTTAATAATGGTGGGTGAATTTTTTTTTCAAAAATTAAATTCCTTGTTGACTAAGACAGAACATTGCTTTCAATTCCAGTTTTGGAAGCCTTAAATATTTGAAGTAAATAATTTCATTATCATTTATACAAATTCACCAGGAAAATATGCAAATCTCATTGAATATATATTAAAATTTGTTTTACTGATAATGAGATAATTATCCTATTAGTATGCAAGTGAATAAATACAAAATCAGATTTATACAGGCAAATGCCCAGCACTTGGATTTGAAGATTATCATAGGTCACTGTTTCCTAGTAAATGTTTCATAGTTTTGCTACCAGTCTGTATCAACTTTCTTTCAGTTTCAGAAGCATAGCATGCTCATCTTGGCTTCTTTAAAGATAGCAAGTAGGAAAAAAAGCAAATATTTATTAAAACGTATGTTCCAGGTACTATACTGAGGCTTTTATGAATGGCCTTGTGCAATTTTCTCAGTAAACCCTTGGAATGGATGTGGTTACTCTAGAGGTTAAGGGGAGTTAAGTCATTTAGCTAAAGGTTGCACAGCTTTTAAGTGAGGGGCAGAGGTGAGATTCAACAGCAAACACTGGCACAGCAGAGCCCATGACCTCAAGTCAGAGTGACTTTGCCCATTATGTGAAATTCCTTCCCACTCCCATTCCCTCTTATCTGTTGGGAATATTATTATTCACTATAAAAAAAATTCACTTTCACTCCCGTGCCTTAAATCTGTCTTCTCCAATTAGAATAAGGTAACATCCCATGAATCTGTATTGTAGCAGTTGTCACTTTGTAGTTCAATCCCTTTCTGAGCCCCTGATGGGTTTTGGGTAACTTTGAAGATAGGGCCTTGTCACATCTTTGTATTACTACTGCCTCACTTAATCTTTAGCACAAGACTGTATCAGTATTTATTTGTTGCATGAATTGGTAATTAATTATTAATTACTCAAACTGTAAACTTTCATGCCTATTATTTTTTTGTGCAGTTAAGTAAACATATTCTTGGGTACTCTTTTTATAGTTGTTTTTTTAAAATATATAAAAACCACATGCATGCATTCTAATTGTACAAGATTAAAACAAAAGAGCAATACAATGTGAAAAATTTCTTTTACTCTCCTCCATGCCTTCCCATCATATTTATCCTCCTCACAGATAAAATTATCAATATTTGGTGTGTATCAATCCAGCCATTTTTCCTCTACATTTCCATAGAGTTTGATTTTTTTCTTTTCATGCACAGAAATGCATTCTGTTCTGAGACTCATTTCTACAGATTAGTCTGGGGAGCTTTATTCCATTGTTTCTAATTTTTCACTATTATAATCAAGACTGCCATGAGATCCTTGAGTGGTCTTTTGTTGTGCATACATGTATTTTTAGAGGATAGATACCTGCAAGTGGAATTTTGGGTTCACAAAGTATAAATTTTTTGATACATAGTACAAATTGTATTCCAAAAACTTTACCATTTTAGCCCTCCATCAACCATGTATGAGAGGGTTTAGTCCCCTCAAACCCTCCATAATGATGACTCATAGGCATTTATTAAGTTTTTGACAGTTTGAGAGTTTTGACAAGTTGCTGCAGTGCTAGATAAATTAGCTTGCTCATCTTTTCATACACCTTTGCTATTTGTATTTTTTCTTCTGTGAATTATTACCTGATTTAAAAAAAAGGATTAAAAACCTAACAGAAAAAGGGCACGATATTTTTCTTACTATATTTTTCTATATATTTTGGATGTATTAGGATATTAATTATTTTTGTAGCATACATTTTTAGAGTATTTTTCTCTTAATACTATGTCATTTTTTTTACTTTGTGATGTATTACATCATTCAAAGGTGTTTAATTTATATGTCTAGTCATCCCTTTATAACTTCCTAGTTCTCTGATTCTGTCTCACTTAGAAGCACTTCTCTATCTGAAGATTTTGAAAATATTGCATTTTTTAAAACGTTTTGTTTTTACATCTATCTACTCAGCCCTGCCTCCTCTAATTAATTTTTTTTGTATAGAATGGAGTAGGGGGTCTAATTTTCTTTCACAAAAATACATTTTTTTAAAAAAGATTTAATTATTTATTTTAGAGAGAGAGAGAGGAGGAGGGAAGGGTAAAGGGAGAGAGAGAATCTCAAGCAGACTCCCTCGCTGAGCATGGAGCCTGACATGGGGCTCAATTTCATGACCCTGAGATTATGACTTGAGCCGAAATCAAGCATCAGATTCTTGATTGACTGAGCCACCAGGAACCCCTCACATTAATACATTTTTAACCAATTATTTCCATCTTACTTAAAAGGAGTTCCTTATTCATACATTTGAAGTGATATGTTTATCTTAATGCAAGTGGTCATATTTTAGGGAATTGATTTGACTCTGTTTATTTGGTTCTTTGTTCTTTTCTGAGCTCCTGTCATATTTTTCTAATTAGTTTATTTAGCTTTATAGCATGTTGTGGTTGAAAAAGTTTTCTCTTGTTCTTTTCAAAATATTACATCTTTTCTCTTCAATATATATTTTAGAATCAGTTCGACAAAGCCCATTTAAAATTCCTGCTGTAGTTATGACTCAATATGCATTGTATTTATACATTAATTTTTAAGAATTAACATCTTTTCAAATGTAAGCTTTCAATATTAAGACATGCTACTTCTCACCATTTATTCAGGTCCCTAAGTCAAGTTTTATGATTTTATGTACATGATTCTGGTAACGTTATATTATTTCCTCATTTTTTATGGTATCTGCTTCTATATGTAGGAAATGGCACTGCTTCTGCACATATGTATTATGATTTTCATTGCTTGTGTATAAGGAATCAATCGTTTGCAAATGTCATTGTGTTATGACTCGAACATTGAAATTAGTGATGAAAATGCCTACATTTTTGTTGTTGATGGATGTTCATGTTTGGTTTTGGTTTTTGTTTTGATAAAGCATTATTAGATTGGGTGACATAAAATGAACAAGATACATTCCTTGTCTTCAATGAATTCACAGTCTAGCAGGGATGATACACAGTAGGTAATTATATTCAGTATATAAGGGCTATGAATAAAATATTATGAAAGCATTGGGAAGTAAAGAATTAATGAAGCTTAGGAAGATTATGCAGGACATCATATGGGAAACAATATTAGAAGATTGAGTTTACTATGAAAGTCCATTGAACCTTTAAAAGTAGGAGAATGAGAGTAGGAAGAGTGTAAGCTAGAGGAGGGACATCTGCGGGAGAGCCGTTAGGATAGTCACGACTCGGGCTGCCACTTGAGTGAAGCAGGGATTGAGGAAGAGTGGAATTAGCAGCTATAGAAGGTAGAACGCTTCCTGAAGGCATTTGTTAACTTAAAATATGTGAGAGAAACTGAAAATTTAGAAGATTTGCAACAGGAAGTATAATAACCACTGGATTTGAATATTTAAAACTATTAATATGCTCTGAGTAAAATTTTAAGCTATA